GGCCGGCGGCCCTTCGGGCGAGGAGATGCGCAGAAGGCGCGTATGCCCTGGGACCCTGGCGTCGAAATGTTTCACATCCAGCCAGTCCGCACTCTTTGTTGCATGTCGTACAGTCTTCGTCGGCGAGTCTTTAGGGCCCGACCATCAGCCGCAGCATGTGTCGCTGTGTGGTCCGCAGCTTCCTCTTTTGCTTCAGTTAGAGTGCCCACGTGTCTGCGAATCATTGTAGTGGCCTCCAGCCAGTGCCGCCGATCCTGGGCGCTCCTGACGCTATTGTTGAAATGGACGATGACGACGACAACGGACGACCAACGGTCGACGAGCGGGATAATTACGACGACGACCGACGAAGGAGTTAATGAAGATGAACCGACGACGATGACGACGACGACGACGACGACGACGACGACTGACGGCGAACGGCTGCCGACGGCCGACGACCGACGACTGGTGATGGCGACGGGTGGAAAGTTCTTCGTTCATCGCTTTCGCTTCCGAGCAACACCAAGTCAGGCCGTGCACCTCTGGCCTGGCAGCACGCGAGTGAGCGCCTCTTGGGGCATCTTGGTTCTTGGGGCTTCTTGGGGGCCTTTGGGGCCTCTTGGGGGCCTCTCGGGGTCCTCTTGGGGGCCTCTTGGGGACCTCTTGGGGGCCTCTGGGGGCCCCTTGGGGGCGCCTCGGGGGCATCTTGGGGGCTCTTGGGGTCATCTTGAGGTGGAGGACTAGAAGGGTCCGTTCGGATTCACCCTCTTGAGGCCATCTTGAGGGCCTCTCGGGGTCGTCTTGGGGGGCCTCCAGGGCTATAGTGGGGCCCTCTTGGACCGTCTTGGCTCCTCTTGGGGGCCTCTTGGGCTGTCTTGGGGCGATATTGGGGGCCTTTTGGACCGTCTCCGGCGCTTCTAAGACGGAAAAGGCGATAATGTTAAAATGCTTCAAAACCTATTAGCAACTTTATTTTTGTACCCTCTTGGGGCCCTTTTGGGGGTCCTCTTGGGATCTCCTTGAGGCGTCTTGGAGGCCTCTTGGGCCGTCTTCAGGCCATCTTGGGCGTCCAGGAGCGCTCTTGGGCCGTTTCGGGCGCCTCCTGGACCGTCTTGGTGGCCTCCTGGGCCCCTTGTGGCCCGTCTTTAGTGCCCACGTGTCTGCGAATCATTTTCTACACCAGCGAACATGAATTACGAGTGGCCACATGCCGGCGAGGTGCACCAAGCTTATCCAGAGCGACGAGAAGGCCAACCTGAAACAGGCGAGCCATCACGTGAAACTGTCGCTAATGCAGAAGCATGTGGCAAGATGCGCCTGCTGTCCGGAGAAGGGGTTCAAAAGTTCCGCCTCGAAGCCAAGGTGTGGCATGAAATCATGCATGGACCAGTATACCCAAAATGCGATTTCGAACCTCATGCCACCACCTCCTGAAGAGTCCACAAACGCGGTATACATGGCGTAGCTTTGAAAAGCTCCGTGAATAGCCACGTAAACTTGAACGCCAAGCAAAGATACAAATTGAAGAAGAAGGAGAAGAGGAGGAAAAAAGAAGGGGGACAGAGGGCAATACAACCTGACATGGAATTAGACACGACCCAATCAAAATCCCAACCAATACTGCAACTATGAGGGACATGGAACAAACGCGTCCCAAAACAGCGGCCTGACACAACGGTCCAGGACGTTTGAAATCAGAAGCAACACCCAAGGGACGACCGACGGGGAGGAGGCAGCTCAACTGGACTCCCAAACTGTGGCAACACTTGCCGCGAGTCCGGAATGCACTGCGCTCCATGTCTCTGCGCAGCATTTCGGACGAATCGTTCATAGCTAGCCACGGTAATAAACTGGATAACTTCGCCCAGCCCGCTTTCAACCGAGGCTTGAACTCCACGTCAGTACTCCTGTTCACGGTGACCTTTGTTCCGAGGACTTTGGATTTTCCGTCGCGGCAACACAGAGGGCACGACCCCACGCCTGTCTTGATGTAGCAACTACCGTCGAGTCGTCCGCAAGCATTGAATATGTCATTGCCTTTCCCAAACAAGATACTGCTGATCACTGTGCTATAGCCCTTGCTTTTCCAGTTCACAGGATGCTCTGCCATCGCTTACTGACAGTGTTTGTAAAGAGCGCAGGTGGCATAGGGGTCGCCCTGTCTGACACCATGAAGAATTTGGAAAAATCTGCTTTCGGTGGGGGGGTCGAACTGCACGAAAGCAGATTGCCGAGCGCACACACCTTGAACCCCGCGTAGATCGCAATAGTTCACCTCCGGCTGCTTTGAGACCAGAGAGCACAGCAACATAAGTCGCATTGACAAACGCTCTTTCTCAATCGAACGAGACAGCCCATATAGTTTCACACCATTATGTGCGTTTTTCGCTGGTCATCCTCATGCAGTGAATTAGGTCGGCACACCCATAATTACTCCTTTCGAAAACACATGTTTTCTAGCGTCTCCAACCGATCCAACAAACCATCGGTACACGACGGAATAACAGAACGGCATAATTTGCTGAGCACTCCTCCATCCTCCCCTCCCCTCCCTACATCCGCACTCGCCGCAACTCGTCCCAACTCCTCCCCCCTTCTCCGCACACACCAGGACTCCTCCCAGCTCCTACCATTCCTCGCTCATACCCGCTCCTTCGCACTCTTCCCAACAACTCCCGCTCCTGACTCCTCCAAGCTCCTCCACGGTTTCCCGCACTCCTCCCAACCCACCCACCCACCCACCCCCCATTCCTCCCTGCTCCCCGCACTCCCCATCCACGCCCCCCACATTCCTCCACACTCCTCCGCATTCCTCCCAGCCCTTCCCACTCCCTGGAGCTCCTCGGCGCTCATTCCCACCCCTCCCAACTCGTCTCAACTCCCCCCTTTTCCTGCACACCCACTCTAGGCCTCCTAGATGGGGTCGGAGTAGATGGGGTCGGAGGATCGCGCCGCATCGCCGATGCATCGCCGATGCGGCTCGATGTGCAGCCCGATTTGCGTCACGCCGACGTCGCCGATGCATCGCAAACATCGACGATGCATCGCCAGTGCATCGCCGATGCATCGCCGATGCATCGACGATGTATCGCCGATGTATCGGCGATGCGGCAAGATCCTCCGAACCCATCTGCTCCGACACCATCTGGGAGGCCTGTACCCACCCCTTCTCCACTGCACTCCTCCCAGTCCCTCCACTGGGCGAGCAACGACATATGTACATGTACGCCCTCCGCGGTCTTGCCTGCACGAACGTCCGCGTCGACACGCACTCCAGGGGAAACTAACCGCGTACGTGTACATGTGTTGCTGGCCTCTGATCCACTCCTCCGAACTTCTCCACGCTTCTCCCAAAGCATCCCGACGCTCCCCCGCTCCGCCGCACTCTTCCGGGGAGGGAGGAGGGGAGGCGAAGCCGGCGGGCGCCTCGAGCCGAGAAAGGCCCTGAGGACAGACTACGAATTGCGGACCCTCGTCCTCATTTTCCTGATCATCCTTGTGGATGCCATGACTATGGACACCCTAATAGTCCTGTCACCGAATTAAACATGTGCTTAAAATGTTGGATAGTGTTCTAAACATGTTTCAAACATGTGTTCTACATGCTTAAATCATGCTTAACACATGTCTTAGACATTTGGAAATTATTTGGCAGCATGCTTCCTCTCCATTAATCGACTTCCACAACTCTCGCTTCATTTGCCTCAGGCCAAGTCTGAATCTTGACGGCCGCGTACTCTGTGATGTGCAGGCTGACATCTCCTGGACGCCTCCACCCAGTTTCTCAAGTGAAGCGATTGACTCCTGCAGGAACATGCCAGCCATAGCCCTCCTCCTCCCTCCTCCTCCTCCTCCTCCTCCTCCTCCTCCTCCTCCTCCTCTTCCTCCTCCTCCCCTCCTCCTCCTCCTCGTTGCTAGGCAGGTTTCGTGACCATGCCCACCTCCCCCATGTCAATCCCGAAACTCATGTTCATAGCCTCTGAAGATGAAGTGGGGGATGCACTGGCTTCGGTCCCCCAGCTTGCGCGGGCCCGCCGACGTGAAACTCGAAATCTTGGGGTGGACTTCAGTGTGAGAGTTGTCCGTGGCTGCAAAGGAAGCGTCATCAAATCTAGACTTGAGAAGGTCCGTGCTCGCGCAGGTCGGGTTCGCAGTTTGGCCATGGGAATACAGGGAGGCACATCGTGCTCCCCCCACCCCCCCACCCCACCCCTCCACCCCCCCGTTTTCTTGGCCGATTCGTGAATTCTGGTCTGAGCCCTGCTGCTCTCTATGGAACTTCAATCACTGATCTCAGCGACACCCAATTCCGAGACGCCCAGGCCATTTTTCACACCGCGCTAGGTTCACGACCCTGCAGGTCAGCTAATATGGGCATGGCCCTGACATAAAACGTGCGGGATCCAGTGGTCACCGTGCACCACGACACCATCCTCGTGTGGCTGTCTTGTCGTTGGGATTCGATTGCACCGCGTGCTATTATGGATCACAGCATGCAGTATGCTATTGTTATAGATGGTCGGGCTACTGCATGGAGTACTTTGGCTGGTCCTGCGGCAGTGGTGGTTGCATCGTTGCTGCGAGTCGGCTGGCCGTGCACGTCCCCAACTGAGTGGATACCTCCAATAGGCGACCACTTTATCGTCACGGATGTTGCTCCCTGTGATGTTGCACGCTTAGTTTCACATTCTGCGTTGCAGTGGTCTTGGTCTCAGGCCTCTCAACGACACGTGCACATGTCTCATCTTGATCACCCTCCCCTCCCTAGCCTCATCGTTTGTCTTCTTGCCGAAGACGGCACTGATAAGTTTGGCACGTGGCAGAAGGCGGAACTTCAAGCTTTGTTGGGGGGAGCTTTCTTTCAACAGGGGTCGTGTTGCTCTGCATCTTGCCACTCTCTCTGGAATCCCTTGTATTTTGAGTGTGATGGGACATCGCCTTTCTGGGCAGGTCTCCCGCATCATGTTGAGCTTCGGAGGGCTTACTCCTCATATCCTAAGATAGGGGTTCTTGTTGGT